TTTATAGTTATCGAATTCAATCAAATTTTATAATTTTTTTTATAATTTATATATTATAATATGCGCCTTCAAATTGTCGACAGTAACATTTTGGTATGATACGACGAGATGAAAAAACATTTTTGAAATACGACCCTTCCAACGGTTAAAACTAAATATATAAAATGTGAATAGCCGCTCGATTCAATAAATATATGAGTTTAAATGAATAATACGGGATTGTCTATCATAATATGGAGTGATTGATTATGTTGACTCACCGTTTAGTTGAAACATTTTATTATTGAACGGTAAATAATATTTTCGACATAATGATTTAATGCATACATAAATTGTCAAAACTAAGAAATATGCATGGCAAAATCAGTTAAATGTGCCAATAATTTAATTTTCGTTATTTTAATCATAACTATTTATCCTTTTATACTGTGAAGTGGAATTTGTTTACGTTAGTCAATATATCTATACATACTTACTAGCCATAAGATATTATTATTTATTTATTATTATTATATATAAATCAGAAAAGTGCAAAAAAAAAATGCAAATATAGCAAACCCTATAATTTTTTAGTCTTAAATCAATAATAATGGTTATAACGGTTACAGTCATATATTATCTGACTATAAAATATATAGACAATAACGTTATAGGATAATGATGCACAACACACACCTGACGTCTTCGACGAACTTTTCGAGCTTATTGCTCTCTGGGACATCGGACATTTTGAATTGAACCGATCGAATTTCATCGTTGGGGTGCACTAACTCAGCTATCACTTTTTCCTGAGGGTACATCTCATCGGACAGTCGGTCGGCAAAATGTTCTAAAAACAGAATAAACATAAATAACAATAAAAACGAGTGCCAAAAAGGTTGTGCTGTTATCTTTGGGYCGAATAGATAAAAAAAGTGTAATTTGATCGTAAGACTTATCATTTTATATACATGCGATTCACCAAGCAAACTCACCTCCTACTCATCCTTTTTATACTATAATAATACTGCTACTGCAGTTTTTTTTTTTTAATCCTTCATAGACTTTTTGCACTATACTTAAGAAATGTCCACATTTTACAGAGACCTATTTTATTAACGTAACCCTTTATCGCCACAAATTTTTTAGCAAACTCCAAATAATATATAAAAGACATCGGCAAGCCCCCCCTAAGAACCTATACCATTGCTTACCAGTCTTAACCAGAGCGTGCGCCGCGAGCAGTTTCAACGCGTGCACCTCAAACAGTACGGGGTGGAAGAGTAACGTCCTTGCCGAAGGACGTTTCTCAAAATCGGCAGTCAGACACTGGTAGATCAGGTCCTTTTGCAGAGGATCGTCCAGCGACTCAATCGTGCGATTGATGTGGTCTTGCGTGACCAGCGTGCCGCTGTCGCCGTTGCCCTGTATCTCCAGAGTGGCCATTTCTAACGCGCACATGCCAAACGCATAAATGTCGATGGCGGGCGTCACGAAATCTGCAATCAAACGGTTTGATAAATAAAAAATAAACCACATACAAGTAAACAGGGTCAGGACGACTCATGGTGTACCGAGACCCGGCGTTCGTGCAAATAATTATCACTTCGTCGTAATATATATATTATAGAAAAATGTTTCAAAATTAATTGTTATTTAAGAGGGGCCCGGATTTAGTCCTGAACCAGGGCCAAAAATATGATGTGGCGGAGGGGCTTCAAGTATAGAAGKAGAGACGTAGTGGACGTATCTAATACCCAAACAAAGGTCACATGACGCGCAAGGATTATCAAACATACGTTGAGGTGACTTATTACGTTTTATCGGTCGATTTAGTACTTTTTGTCAAGCATCTAACTCCAAAAATATCATTTATATACAATTTAAGAGGACGTTATACCCGCATGCGTTATCTCCGTCTTACAAGTGCGTAACATACCAAATTTTACGCTCAGCAGATCACGTGTAGCTCTGTCAGCTCAAAATCTAAAATGAATTGACCTGTTATACAAATTAAAGGTAACATTATTATCATGGCTTTTTTATCAAATTTTAATTTTAAACCGAGTTATGAGTATTTTAAATATACCTACAAACAATTTCCAATTTAAAAATATTCATAACTCGGTTTAAAATTAAAATTAAATAAAAAGTCCGTGATAATAATGTTACTTTTAATTTTTWTAAGAGGTAAATTAACTCTAAATTTAAAACTAACAGCTTTACAGGTTCTGCTGAGCGTAAAAATTGCTATGTAACGCACTTGTAAGACGGAGACAACACATGTGGGTATAACGACCTATTAATGTATGCAATTTATATTAACGATTTTTAATCAAAAAATAAAAACTTATTAGTAACTATTTGTAAAAATAATATACCTACATCATAAAAGTATGCAGATTTGTTTTTAAGCTTTTTGCCCATATTATTTGTGTTTCTAATGAAGTTTATATAATATAGATTAAATCACTAACAATTATAGGAACGCTTATTGAAATAATAAAAATGTATGCATAAAGAAAAAAAGAATCATCGCGCAGTTTCCGTGTACCTATCTCTACCTATGAATATTATTGGGAGAATAATAATTAATTTCACTCACTTCCGCATTCAGGCGCGATAAAATGCATGTTTTTCATGTTTTCCCGGCAAGTCTTGATGTGCACGTGAATGGTGTCCGGAGCAACTATAGTTTTTTTTTTTATGCATACATTTTTTTTTTTTTTTTTTTAAGAAAAAAAAGTCTGTTAGTACGGTCACAATCACAGTCGTGCCTCAGCCCGATCCGACCACACGTACGTTTGACCCGACCGTTTCCGGTCCTGGACAACCCACGCGGTCCTTAACGCCGGAACAATGTATACCCGCGAACGCGTTAACAATCCTACACAGAAACATGGGGCGGCCCTAGCATCGTCATTGCCTAGGACCGTCGGCCGGCGACAAAGTACGGTGTGCAACGTTTCGGGGCTTTGGCACTGAAAACAAGTTGTTTTTTTTTTTTTTTTAAACCATGCTTAATATCGTAACAATTATCATCACCTTCCATAATAATTGCATATACCACGGTATATAATATATTATATCATAGGTACGTTATAATAATGACTAATGTTTTTTTTTTTTTTTTATATATATATATTTTTTGGTAATGTTCCCTTACATGGCATGTTTCGCTCGTGCGGTACTTTACCTGATCCTATTTTCACGAGTCCATTGTGTTGGATAAATATCGTGTCACAGGTCAGATTCCCATGGATGATGGGCGGTGAACATGAATGCAAGTAACTGAAAAACAAACCACAACTTTTGT